GAGGGGGCTGTGAAATATAAAAAAAATAAAATTCGCGTGCTCAGCATTGGTGAGCGGGTAACACGGTTCTATCTCAACATCAATCCCCGGCGTAAACAAAACACCAACGAACCCATTTTAGCCACTGGCAGCATTATTACAATCGCCTTTTCAGTCAGTGGTCCTGTAAATTCATCCAGGAACCCAAGAGTGCCGTGTACAAAATTTAAACCTTGCGCTTCTTGCTGGGCTGTCCCCCGTCTTTCCCCTCACTCTCATTCTCGCCCTCGTCCTCATCCTCGTCCTCGGCCATCTGATCGTCTTTGTCATCCTCATCATCCTCATCATCCCCAACATCCATCTCGTTGATCGCAGCAAGCTCCTCGCTTTCCTCTGTGAGTATTGTCAGTTGTGAGCCCTGTCGAGGTATGTGTGGATTGTGGGCCAACAGTAAACATACGGAAGAGTTGGATGGCTTCGGGCCAGAGGTCCTCAGCAATGGCGAGGGCGATCTCTGCGCCCGGGGGGAAGACGTCGTACTTGTACTCGGACTCGTACTCGTCCTGGGCGTCGTGCTCTTCATCGTCGCCCCCGACGTCAACGTCCTCATCCGCATCAGCATTCTCGCCCTCCTTCACCTCGATTTCCTTGCCCTCCTTGCGGGCCTTGCGCTCCTCTTCAACAGCTTTGGTGGCCTCAAGGCTCTCCTCTTCGGTAATGTAGTGGCCTCGGAAGCCGAAGAAATTGAAGAAGCTGCGGCTTTCCGTACTGGCCACGGCCTTTATCTTGCACAGCTGACGTTTGTTTTCAGTGTCGCCAGACTTGCCGGCCTTGTCATCCTCGTGGATCTTCTTGGCGAGGGTGAGCAGGCCGTTGGTCAGGTCCTTTCCGGGCTTCCAGTCGATCTCGACGGGTTCAGACACGAGGCCGGAGAAGTCATCCTTCTTGCGAAGACGCCACCAAAACTTCTTCTCGAGGGTCTTGTTGTGGAACCAATCGTTGTCGGTGAACTCAAACTTGATTGAGAAGCTACGAGGGTTGCCATCAGGGAGCTCAAAACGCTCTACATGGAGGTTCTTGAGAGCAGACGAGATGACAGCGGCATCCTCCAGCTGCATGTACTCATCGATCTCAGGCGGAGCCTGCTCGAACACGAGAGGCCAGAAGTTGGGGATTTTAGAAATAATCTTGTCGCGCTTGACGTAGAGATCGCGGGTCAACTTGTGCTGCATGCGCACTGTGGTCAGGTTAGCCAAATGTTTCCCTGGAGGATCAAAAAAATTGAGGGTTTGGAACGGAATTTATCCGTGTGCCATTCATGACAACCACGTGGCCAGGCCTCTGGTTCAGCGAATTGAAACAAGAAAAATTTTCAACGGACTAAATGTATAAAAGTAGAGAAATGGGATGAAAACAGGGAAAAAAAAAAGAAAGAAATAGGAAACCTACGCAACTCAACGTCGACCTGCTCGAACTCGTCTTGGAGGTCCTCAAGCTGCTCGTATAGGACAGGGTTGTCACTATCCCCGGCAGACATGTTGGCGGTATTGCACGCACAATCGGCGTAGACAGAAAGGTCAATGTGTGAAGCGATTTACAATGGAGAAGAAAAGAAAGCGGAAGAGCGAGGAGGGACGGTAGATATATGAAGGAAGGAAGGAAGGACAGGTGGAAGGGACGACGGGAAGGGAGCCAAAAAAAAAAAAAAAAAAGGTT